CTCCCCTCCTCCCAGTTCCCGCCCCACCCTCCGCCCTCACTCCCCACCCACTGTCCTCATCCATAGGTGCACGATTTTTGTCCAGTCTCTTCCTGCATCTCCCATTTCCCTTTCCCCCCCAAGAATAGTCAGTCCATTCCCTTTCTATGTCCCTGATTCATTATAATCACCAGTTCATTCTGTACATCAGATTATTTATTCACTTGGTTCTTAGATTCACTTGTTGATAGATGCATGTTTGTTGTTCACAATTTGTATCTTTACCTTTTTCTTCTTCCTCTTCTTAAAGGATACCTTTCAGCATTTCGTATAATACTGGTTTAGTGGTGATGAACTCCTTTAGCTTTTCCTTATCTGTGAAGCTCTTTATCTGACCTTCAATTCTGAATGATAGCTTTGCTGGATAAAGTATTCTTGGTTGTAGGTTCTTGGTATTCAGCACTTTGAATATTTCTTGCCATTCCCTTCTGGCCTGCCAAGTTTCTGTTGAGAAATCAGCTGACAGTCGTATGGGTATTCCCTTGTAGGTAATTGAGTCTCTTTCTCTTGCTGCTTTTAAGATTCTCTCTTTGTCTTTTGCTCTTGGCATTTTAATTATGATGTGTCTTGGTGTGGTCCTCTTTGGATTCCTTTTGTTTGGGGTTCTCTGCGCTTCTTGGACCTGTAAGTCCATTTCTTTCACCAGGTGGGGGAAGTTTTCTGCCATTATTTCTTCAAATAGGTTTTCAATATCTTGCTGTCTCTCATCTTCTGGCACCCCAATTATTCTGATGTTTGTACGCTTGAAGCTGTCCCAGAGGCTCCTTACACTATCTTCGTATTTTCGGATTCTTTTTTCATTTTGCTTTTCCGGTTGGGTGTTTTTTGCTTCTTCGCATTTCAAATCTTTGGCTTGATTCTTGCGCTCCTCTGGTCTGCTATTGGGTGTCTGTATAATATTCTTTATTTCAGTCCGTGTATGCTTAATTTCTAGTTGGTTCTTTATCATAGCATCGAGGGTCTCATTAGTTTTCGTGACTCTCTCCTCAAGTTTATTGACAGCTTCTAGCACATTTTTGCAAGCCCTCAAAATTGCGATTTTTAGCTCTATATCCTCCATTTCTGTCATGTTTTTTTGTCTCCGCATTTTTTATGCTTTCTTGGTGCACCCCCTAGTGGTCTTTGTGCGCAGTCTTGTTCTAGTTGAGCCTTGATTGTTGTAGTTAATACTAGAGGGATTTGACCACCAGGCCGACTGGCTGTGTGAATCAGCTGTGTCTGCCGCGGAAAACTTCTGTCCTCTGGGGAGGTGCTAATCTAGCCTTTGCCTGAGGCGATCTGGCAAATGGCTCTGCGCAGGGCTTGGGCGGGGCGGGCTCAACAGGGCGGGCGGAGGGAGCCGTTATGGTGCCCTCAGTCCTGTTCCCAGAGGCTCTGCTTCTCAGAACCCCCGGAACCGCTGCAAACCTCGGAGGGAAAGCTGCCTTCCAACTGATGCCAGACACTCCCGCTTCTCCCGTTTGGGTCCGAGTCCCCAGCGATTCGCCCGTATCTGGAGCTCAGAGTCTGAGACTCCCCCCTGACCGAAAACGACAACCGCGCTCTCAGCCACCAGCCCGCTTTGCGCGCGCACCTCCGCACCTGAGTTTTTTCCACACTGCGCCTCCTCTGAGCCTCGGTGTGCTGTTATTTTTCCTTCTAGTTGAAGAGTCTCTCCTCAGCCAGCCTTCCTGTGGTTCTGGGTGATGTCCGTTCCGTCTTTTAGTTGTATTTTTGAAGTGGTTGTTTGCGGCAGCAGTCTCCGGTGTTTACCTATGCCGCCATCTTGGTCTCCGAGTATCTATATTCACATTCTTGTCTGAATTTGAAAGTACCTAAGAAATACACACAAGAGTTAGGAAAGGATAAAAGTATCTACTTAATTAATGGTTAAGCTGAAGGCATACTATGATTTTAACCCAAAGTCCAAATGGCCTTCCTCTACTTTTCTCCTGGGTGATCCTTTAATCTAGTCACAGGCCTCTGTGAGTTCCTTTAGAGGAGGAGAAAGGAGAATGCATGTGGTCTGTAGGTAGACAGAACACAGAGTTAGAGGCCCCTATCTCCACTCACCAATCATGAGTTATTTCTCGACTATAGAGAAAGAATAATAATGGGGGGCTATAAATAGACAGAAGTACCTTTTATGGACTGATGGGAACATGTGGCAGTAAGAGCTTCTGGCCCCCCTATACATTCTCATTTTTTGAGATTATAAAATGTAAGAAAGGTATCCATAAACACACATAGAATCTTACTAGCTCTGGCCCAGTGGTTCGATGAGCTCATGGCATAGAGGTTAGTAAAACTGATGTATTTACATGTTTGTATTTGTGACTTTGTCATGATGTTCTCTCTCTGTTGTATATTCCTGAAGTCTTCCCCATGCCCTTTTACCTCTAGTACCGACCTCAGAGTGGCCATACTAGTAATTCTCCAGGCATCCTGAAAATACCTTATGAATGGTGTTTGCACAAGCCAACAATGAGTGCTCTCCTAGTGGAGAGTGGAGGTAAAAGAGTGTAGGAAAACCCTCATTTTCTCAGTACCATTTCCTCATTCCCACTTGTTCTAAGTTCTAGTCCTTGCCTGAATCAGAACTTTGTCCTTTAGTTTTTTCATGCCTGCTTTGGTTTGGGGCCTTAAGAGATAAGTAAGAAGAAAGAAAAGAAAGACCTTTGGGATTGGGGATCCTCAGAAGATAAAAACATGCAGAGAGTGAGTAGGAATATCTTAACTGCCTGTTCCACACCCCAAATATTTGGCTTTGGTCTGACCCTCACCATTTTAGTGAGATTATTTCCCTTCATGATACCTCTATGCCATACATTCTGAGCCAGGAAACATCCTCCCATCCTTCAGAATCAATGTAAACCAGTCATCATCAATTATTTCCAATAAACTTTTATTGAGCATAAACTCTGTGACAGGAACTGTGCCAGGAGATAGGATTATGGTGGTGACCAAGACCTAGTCCTGAGTTTCAAGGTGTTCAAAGTCCAGTTGGAGCAGACTAGGACTTTCCCCCATGAATTAAAGTTTGAAGAATTGGATACTTGAATTGACTTGTCATTCTACCATGCCCTCCATTTTGTTGTGGGAAAGCCAAAAGTGCAAAGATATAGGCTATTCTGCAGGGAATCTCAGACCATTTAGTATCACCCTCCTCTAACTGTCTTATCTTGCCCCTGCAACCTTCACCCCAGCCTGTTTCTGCAGGCACAAAGTAATGCTTCTGATGAGGCAAGAGACATTCAAAACTGGGGAGAAGTGTGTGTGGGGTGGTGTCAGCAGCTCCCCACTAGACCACTGGAATCTACAGAAGGGTAAGGTGATTCAGCTCTGATGGGCTAAGAAGCCTGAGTTTCCTAGATGGGAGTTCAGGCAAGAAAAGAAGGGCTGGAGTCTGGGCATTTGGTTTTGCATCTACATCTATTCTGAAAAGATCTGGAGGCGGTGAAGTCCAGTAAAGGTAGTGTAGTGGCAGCTCCAAGATAGAGCAGCTCTATTGGGGGCATCCTTTTTGGCATCAGAAATTATGTAAAATAGTAAAACAGTCGCTTCTGTTTGAAGGTAGGGATGTGGATATAACATTCTCTGTAATATTCTTGACCTCAACATTCCTCATTTTTCTCCTGCAGATTAAAATACAGAACAGGGCAAGTACAGAACTTGTGAGTAGAGTGAGGTGAGCAAAAGGCCAGACTTGATTCCTGAAGTGGAGGGAGAGAGGCTGCCTGAGCTTGAGGAGCAAGTGGGGGGGGAAAAGAAGAAAGAAAGAAGTTAGGAGATTGGAGATGGGCTAGGACTTAAATAAGGAGGATTGGCTGGGCTCTGCATTTCCCTAATACTGCTTAACGCGCACAATTCAAGCTCTCTGCTCGGATCCCAACCCCAACGTAATGATGAGGGGGCATACAGGAAAAGCGGGGTTCTGATGGTGCCAACTGGCCCGAAATGAAAAGTCAGCAAAAACCACTGGGTGGCAGCGTGGTG